AGGGTATTATGCTCAGTGAAATAAGCCAAGTGGAGAAAGACAAGTACCAAATGATTTCACTCATATGTGGAGTATAAGAACAAAGGAAAACTGAAGGAACAAAACAGCAGCAGACCCACAGAACCCAAGAATGGACTAACAGTTACCAAAGGGAAAGGGACTGGGGAGGATGGGTGGGAAGGGAGGGATAAGGGGAAAATGGGGCATTACGATTAGCACACATAATGTAGGGGGTGGGGGACATGGGAAGGCAATATATACAAAGAAGCCAAGTAATGATTCTATAGCATCTTGCTATGCTGATGGACAGTGACTGTAATGGGGTATGTGGGGGGGACTTGATAATAGGGGGAGTCTAGTAACCATAATGTTGTTCAACTAATTGTACATTAACAATATCAAAATAAAAAAAATAAAGAAATAAAAAATCAGCTGACACCTCTGTTCAACAACTCCCTCTGCCAAAACATGCTTCCTTCACTGCCTTAAACATGTTCCCAAATAATTCCTAGTAAGCCTCTGGTGTACAAATTTTCATTCCTGTGTATTTTTCTGAGATCCCAGCCTATGACAAAGTATATATGTTTGAAATGCATACATTTTTTCTAGAATGGTTTCTCCAAGAAGGGAAACTGGTCTACTTAATGGCCTACTTACCTGGTACTCAATCATTTTCTGCTGTTCTTGGAAAAAGATCTGAGACCTGTGAAGGCAGAGATTGGGAAGAGGAGGATGGAGAAAGAGAGGACAGAGCCATGAGGGACCAGACCAGTCTCACAACTGCAAATTCCCTATGTAAGTCTTGTACAACAACCTATGCTTTAAATCCCTGTGGTAAAAGAAAAAAAATAGTGCCATTCAACTCAGAATATGGACATATAAAACAGACTTCCCAGGAAGTAACAACCAAGTAAGAACTGAAAGTCATTAAAAAACAAAACTCTAAAACTTGAATAACTGGGCCCAAACATCTACTGGAAAAGGGCTTCTACAATTGTTAGGAAAATATAAAGAACTCAAAGCCAAGTAAATAACTGTGTAACATTAGTAAAGCTAATGGCTACTTAAACTGTGGTACAAATAATCACTGAAAGGCTAAACCTTTGTTACTCATCCAGCAGTTTACAAAGTGTTGTCATTAAAAAATAATATTCAACAGATGAGAACAAACAACTGTTACTTTAATTAAGATGTTAAAAGAAATAACTGGATGGCTTAAATTAGAAAAAGGGAAAACCATAGTTTAAGAGTGTAAATATTTTATGATGTAATTGAATATTTAATCTTAGAACTGTATTAAAATTGTCAAGGAGATAACTCACAATTTTAAAAATTATATCTTTTATGTCTGTTTTCATTGAAATAACCTGGGATGTTGTCATCAGACTGGAAAAGCCTGCTGATCTCCAGATTCTTATCTCTACCACTAATTTTAATTAAAAAGAACTAGAGCTCCTTGGAAAAATGATTGAGTCCACATTGAAGCAAAGAACACAAGATACACCTCTGTAATCCTGAGTATCAGAAAGCAAAGACACTTCCTTAGTAAATGGCTCCTGGCAAGGGGGCACAGGAGCCAGCCTCAAGGGGCTTCACCCATGAAGAAGTGCTGAGAGAAAACTGGCTGTATCTAAAGCTAAATATACATTTACATTATGGCCCAGTAGTTCAATATGAATTCATATGCTCACAAAGTTTCAGTCTGTTCTTAAAAACTATGAACTTGTAATGATATTTGACAATCACAATATTAAATTTTTTCTCTGAGAATAATAGGTACTATAATTTTATATAGTGTTACAGAAGTTATAACTTCTATAACAAGGAGGCTTCCTATTTCTAAAACATCCACATATTAGGAAATATGGAACTATTTGGTACTAAATTGGTACTAAACATTAATAAAGAATGTTCAAGTTTTTCACTCACAGCGGTACGAAACCTTATAGAGGTCTGAAAATACTTTGTGTAGGCAACAGCCTGAAACTGAAAATCCACAATTAGGAGCAACGAGGGCTCCCACACATGGCTGATGGGACTGTAATTTGGTTCAACCATTTTGGAAAACTGGCTATATTTACCAAAGCTGAAGGGCTTCTGATTGGTTTAGTGATTAGCAGAAGACACCAGTTTTAAGAGAAATAAACTGTTTCAAAATAAGTATTTTCCTAGCTTTATTTTATAGAAGTCCTTTCTCACTAATCTACTGACAAATTACCTTTTGAAAAGGATAATAATTCTAAAGTGCTGGAAATATCCTCTATTATGATTTGGGTGGTGGGGACACATAATGGAAAATTTCATACACTACAGAGCTAAATGAGTTAATAATTTCCTTTTCTCTTATGGACAATAAATATCTCATCTCTTTATTGTACCAAAATGCTGTGAAATACTGTACAGGTCATAAAGCATGATTAGTGTGAAAGAGGCATTTAACTATGGTATCAGTAATGGAAAAGACTGAGCAGTGAGCTTATTGTTTCTTTTAAAAAATGTTTACATATAATAAATGAATCATTTTAGTGGTATAATTTGTTGAGTTTTGACAAATGTATTCACCCATGTAACCACCACACAATCAGGATATGAATATTCCCATCACCCTGGAAACTTCCTTTAACCCCTTCCCTTTGTGCCTTTTGATAAGAAACACCCTGTTCACAGCTATAGTAATGAATTTGTTTCAGTGGAGTTAAAACGAACTATTTATATTCCCGTCTCTTCTACAGAAGAATTAAAAAGTGATATTATTGAATGTTAAATAAAACAGATACAGTTTTGCTTAAATAATAAATTAATCAAGTTATACAAGTAAGTCAAAAAAGTTTTAAAAAGGTCTGAGCTACTACTGTTTGAAGTTCACTTATATAAATAAAGGTCAGAAACAGGCAACTCCGACCTCTGTGATGGCTTTGGGCAGGCACTGTTCTGGAGGGATGGGGGAAGCCTTCGGGGTGCAAGAAATAGTCTTTATCATGATCTGGGTGGTGAGTACATGAGGGTGCACAAATGGAAAAATTCATTAAGCTACTCACTGTTCTCTATGCAAGTTACAAGTTTTTAAAAAACAAAAAAACCACAATTCCATTATTTTTAAAAATGTATGTGTAGAAAAATGTTATTGGTGGTTCAGTTTGGGTGGCAGAATGTTTCTACCCCTGACTGTAATTTTAACACACACACACACACACACACTTCATTATTTACACATTTCATTCCTGGTTTACTGCCTTTTTTCATCATGAAAGCCACAGGAGGGTCTGAAAAGAGGGAGGAGTTTCTCTGAGAACTGAACTATCCACTAGGAGTTGAGCTGGCAGGAAAAGCCTGGGGCCCAGCGGGTGGGGAAAATTAATCCTTCTTTGGTTCATTACTCACTCCTCTAAGAGGGTGCACTCCCTCCCTCACCTTGCTTGACATGGCTACTTCACCTCACCTGGTCTCCATGGCTGCAAGGTTCCAACTGAATGGTGGTGTGGCCAATGTGCTGACAAATGTGTGCCCTGATGCCTGTGTTCAGTCCTGGCTCTGTGACCATCTGGGTCTGTGGTCTGGGAAAGCCAGCCACTTATAAATGAGATGGCAGCATCACTGGATGCTAAAACCACTGGTGAAAGTTGGGTGAAAAACAGGATATTGACAGAGAACCTAAATAGCCACCCTCAAGATATTTATTGATTAAAAAAGGAAAAACAGTAAATCTACACTGGAGAAACCTGGCAGACATCACCTTAACCAAGTGATTAGTTAACATCGTAAGTGATGAGACAGATTAACACGTCCCCTCTGATATGATGTACTGAAGGACACAACATCCTTCTGTGGTATCCTGCCCAAAACGCATACCTGAATCTAATGAGGAAACATCAGACAAAACCATATTGAGTGACACTAGAGAAAATAACTGACCTGTACTCTTCAAAATGTTGACTTCATGAAAGACAAAGACGGAGGAACCAATCCCGATTAAAGGACACTAAAGGAATATGTCAACCAAAGGCAGCATGTGATCCTGAATTTGATCCTAGAATGAAGAAAGAAAAGTTGCTATAAAACAACGTTGTTAGTTGACATCTGAATATGGACTATGATTAGATAATAGTGTTAAATCAGTGTAAGTTGCCTGATTTTGAAAATTACATTATAATTATATAGGAAAATGCTCTTATTCATAGGAAATACACACTGAAGTATTTTGGGGGTAAGGAGCAACATGCCTAAACATGTAGAGAGAGAGCAATGGTGTAAATGTGGTCTTGGCTGGGTGAACTTAGATAAAGGATAGATAAGGGCCCACCAATAATATTCCTGCAAATTTTCCAAATAAAGTTTAATTTCAAAAAAATCTACAGCTTCAGTAGGTCTACGGATCCTGCCACCACCATTCTGAGAATCCAGGAATTTTTCTGCCCCAGGTCAGGATGGCGTGAACTCCCTGTATTCCCAGAAGACAGATAAGGTGGCAAAAATGACAAAGGAGCAACTAAGAGTCCAGAAAGAATAAGGGAATGGGTAGTCCATGTCCCATAACACAAAACGGCAGAATGTAGTGGGCTGGATCAATGTCCCCCTATCCTAAGAGAACATGCCTGTCACACTGGCCTTCCCTGTCTGCCCCTTCACTCCTGTCTGTCTCCCTGAATCTTGGGGCCAACCCTTTTCCCACCATGCAACCACTGAGGGTCCCTGGAAAGAGTCTTGGTCAGCTTCTAGCTCAGGGATGATGCTATTTCCAGTTCCTATGAGTCTTTGCCCTGGCAAGAGGTCTGGGTCCCTGGATGACTCCATCAGAAGGAATTCTGTCCCAAGTTCCCCTCTCTGGGATTAGAGGGTGTTTCACCCGGCCTGCTAGGCCCTCACAGCTCCATCTCTGAACAGGAACTCACCCTCAGCTGCAGTCCCAGGCAGGGCCTTCTATACATGTGAACAAGGTCCTATGGCCCTGTAGAGAGTCCTGCTGCCCAGTGAGGTGGTGGGACCCAAAGGTGTACAGGACACTCAGGGAGCCTGAAGACAAGCAGACCCCATGGTGAAAGTCATTCAACAGTCCTCACCAAATACTCTCTGGGGCGTAAGGGGAAGAAGCCTGCAGAGGACTTTGCCTGAGACATAGTTGAGTAATGGTTGCTCTGAGTTTGGTGCAACAGGAACTTCTAGAAAGACCTGAGCCTGGGAGTCATTCAGGCAGAAGTTCAAAGCCAAGTAATTCCTCTAACTGACTGAGGAAATCTAGGCCAGACAAGTTACCTCCCTGGGTAAAAAGAGGAACCATATATGACAAAGACAATTTTTAAAAGCCCATCCTGAGAGGCTTTCCAAAAGTTATCTCATTTTTAACATATACTCAGGTTTGGTTGAAAGGGCCTAAATTATGAGCAGCAAAAAGATACCTTCATCCCCTTTATCACTTAGGAAATTACAAGGGTTTTAGAAACTCTGTGCCAGAAATGGGACTGAAGACCAAATATATATTTATTATAAATCACAGTATCACACAGAATAAATTAAGGGCAGAAAACAGTAACTGGGTGCATATGGTGAAATATGGTGCATATGGAGAATTTTTTTTCAGTTTCCTTCAACAATGAAGTAAAAACTGTTTAGTATTTTTCATTAAAAAGCAGATTATTTTTCTTCTAGAGGGGCCCATATGCACACGGCAAAGTCATGGGGCCACATGCTCTGATTAAGTAAGGAAATGTGGAAAACAAGGTTCTCTTCCTCCCTCAGCCCCAAGTTCTTCCCCAAACAGCACCTATGGGGAGAATCTAATGAAGAATGAAGTCAACCATTATTTTTCTTGGTAAAGTCAGTCTTGGTACCACCATGCAGTCAGGCCCCTAATAGCAGCCATCTGAAGGACCACCATCTCCTCTTTACCCATGTGATTGTAACTCACACATCTTTATTACCAGTCCCTAAGATTTTAACTCAAAAGCCTTAGGTTACCACATAAATACCATCATCTGGAAGCTCTCAGGCACAAATTTATAACCAGATAGATCATGGATTTCTTCTTGCCACTCACAGAAGTGAACTTAGTATCTCTTCCCTCATCCTATTCTTCTTCTTGGGTCACAGCCTTTGTCTCCTGAAATTGTATAACATGTTTTGAAATTCTGGCAGGTTGTCTCACTACTTATTTTTCAGAAATATCCTTGTAGATAAGGTTAACTAATAATGCTTAATCTGTATATATTGATTTTTAAAAGATCAGATTATTCAGTTTTCCCTTTTTTGCTTTTTTAACTCATTAATTTCTCCTTTTATATTTATTGATTCCTTCTGCTTTTCATATATACTCTCTAGCTTCCTCAATTAAATATTTAGTCATGACAGAAAATTAAACCACAGAAAACTACCCACAGTTCAGTATTACTCAGCTGGAGACACTATCCCACATCTCATCTGGCTTTTTCCATTTTGATTTTTAAAATAAACAATATGATTCACTGTCATAGAATAAATGAAACCACGACTTAAGTTTTTAACACATAAGTACCATGTCATCAAGTTTTGATAGTCCTACCACATTTCTATATCTTATTTCTTTTCCTTCTCCAGCTCCCAATCGCAAAAATTTATCTGGCCCAGAGTGGGCCCCTACAGGTCTCCTGTCTCTATGGGTCATTTTGTCACTTTAAGGTAGAGCAAGGAAATGGGACAAGGGTCATGCCATAGTAAAATCTACTTAGCCTGTAAAAAAGACCCAGCTTATTCTTTAACGTGACCTTTATGCTATTCTCCCCCCTCTTCACCAGTCACCTTAATCAATTAAGGAACACTGTAACCAGGACAAGAGACAGACCTCTGGAGTGTAAACAAACCTACATGGGTAGAAAATGCCAAGATCTGGATCAACACGGTCACCTAAATAAACCTATTCTTAAGACAAAACTTAAAAAGAATAATTAGCCATCTGTACATACCATGCCTTATGCCGATCCCTATCCAAAAGACCCCACAAAACCCCAAACCCGAAACCTTTAAAGCACACCTCCTCTCTGAGGTGCCCACACTTCCCCTTTGAGTGCATCCTCTGCTTAAATAAAATTTTCTTGCTGCATAAGCCTAGTGCACTTTATATCTGAATTCTTCTTCAAGGCAAAGACAAGAACTCACTGACATCCACCACCAGTGGTGTCTTTTTCGCTTTGCTGTTTCATTCATCCTACAAGCCTTTAGTGCAAGTCTTTCTCTCTGTTTTCTCTCCAACAAGTAGGGAAGTGGCTCGGAAACCTCTGGGTAGGGAGGGGCTTGCACTCTCCTGCCACCCGGGTGACCCACATGGAACCTTAGCCATTCAATCATGTTCTTTCGCAGCCTGCCTGAAAGTCTCCTTTTCCTTTCCTTTGGAAAGCTCTCAGGATAAAAACTCACTCCATCTAGTGCTCCAAGGGTTCCCCAAGTTCAGTGGTGGTTGGGATGTAGTTCCCACACCGTGCAGATCAAGTGGACAATGTCAGGTGACTCTGGCTTTAGGAGGTGGCAAGGGATTTACCCTAAGCTGAGCAGGAGTTCAATGAACTTTCCTCTTCTGCCTCTGTTCGTCCTTGCCATTTACCACCTACAAGGCTGCATAAATAAAAAGGCCATTTTTCCTGGTACTATGCAACTCTGACACTTGCTGCTACTCTCACTTGAATGAACTCCTTTCTTGCTTGCACTGTTTGGACCTGTTCTCAAATTCTTTCCCAAACAGAGTCTAAAGCCCTCCCTCCCCTGTTCCGGCTGAAGTTTCACCTAGCCGGCAGCAGAGACCTCCCCTGACAGGACAGCCTTGCAACAACAATGACCTGACAACTCTTTCTCTGTAACTAGTCAATCTCCCAAGATGTTCTCTGTGCTATTTAGAAGGTCTGAGCTCTGGCTCATGGTCTAACTCGACATTTTAACCAGCCTTTTACATTTCCAATGTGCAGCTTCTATTTTATATGTAAATAGGACACATCATTATTTGTACTGATAGTTACATGGGGGATAAAGGAAAGTCCCAACTAATACATGTAGAAAGAATGATGAATTAGAAAATCACCATTTGGCAATCATAACAGTACTAATTGATTCAGGTAAGAATCATTAATGGATATTAACACTCGTGAATAAAAGTCTGAGGTATTTACATAGCTTCAAAATATTTTCCCGTAAGATACTTATTAACACAACTTTATAGTGGAATACTTTGGTGGACATGACTTTAATCAAGTGACCAAAACTGACATTACCAGCACTATGACAAACCAATACCATGCCTCTCCTGATACAGTATATTGACACAATGTTACTATATTAATACAATGTTACTTCTGTGGTATTCCTGTCAAAAATGTACATGACTCTAACCATGAGGAAAA